GCGCAGCAGCCACTCGGAGTCTCTTCCCCCCACCCCCCCCCAGGTTTGAGAGTCTGGGAGGGAGGGGGAGACCCCGAGCTGCCGCGGCGCGCGAATCAGCTGTTTCGCGCGCCGTGGCAGCAGCAGCGGAGGTGAGCTAGGGCGGCCGGGGCACATTTTTAGGGGTGGCATTCTGGTGCCGGCCATGCCGCCCCTAAAAATGTGCTGCCCCAAGCACCAGCTTGTTTTGCTGGTGCCTAGAGCCGGCCCTGGCGAGGGGTCAGAGATCGGAGCCTCCCAGGTGCAGAAACTAGCTGGCTTAGCTTGGGTTTGAGGTTGTTGTGGCAGTTATTTTTTGCTTGGCTGTACTTTTTGCCTGAATATGTATGTGTGTATGTGTATTGCCTTTCCTTCAGTTGGGAGCTGAAAGTGCGGATAGTATTGGTGCCGTATTGAACAGCAAAGATGATCAGAGGGAAATCGCTGAAACGAGAGAAAACTGCAGGTCTGTATTGAAGCAGTTTTCTGTTAGAAATCAGTTTTTGCTCAAAAAACCACAACACAAAACTATAGTTTTTGAAAGAAGGGGAGAAGAGAGCAGGATCAGTTTCATAAGACAAGCATTTTCCCCCCCATCCAGGTTAACAAAAGTAAAGAAATTTTAGTCCGCATCAGAAAATAAGAATTAAGAAAAAATTCACAATCACAGGCTTCTGGTTATAAATCTGACTGTCTTACTGAGATTCTTTGTCTGTTCTAAAAATAGCCTTGCTATAGTAGTGTTCATACTTTTCCTACGTTTACAGAATTCCATTCTTCCCACTTGTGATTGCAAAGGGAAACCTTAAAACAGCTCTTAATTCAATAGGAGAGATGCCTTTGTTAGATCTGTTTAAGTAGCACTTGGTAAAACGGTGGATGTTGAACTGAAGTGATTGTTAGCCAGTCCCGGAGGACCATAAAAACAAAAGGTAAAACTGTAGAACACACATCAAAACAGAAATAGTAAAAGAAATACCCTAGCCAACCAAGTTGTAACAATGTTGGAGCCAAATCATACTTACCATAATCACAGAAGAAATCCTTTTGACGTGATTGACTGCTTGTTTGAGTAAGGAAAGCAGGATTTAGCCCCCATCTTCAAACTAATCCTTGGAGACAAAAACTAATTTCAATTACCCCAGATTTACACTGATGAAATTCTGACTTCAGTAGGAATGATTACTGGATTTACACTGCTTCAAGTGACCTAATAATCTGACCATTAGGGTCCGGCCAGTTTGAACACTGCAAAGTAAATGTGTTGTTTTACGGTTCTAACAATATAAACAATTAAGAAAATAAGATAGAACTCTTTAAAAGACCATAGGACCCTCTGTTGCTCTTTAAAAGAGTTCTTTTGTCAGAAAGCTGCCACAGTATGGCATTATGAGAGAAGCGGTCCCAAGCCATTTTAGGCTCTAGATTAAAACCAGGCTCTTAAAATTCAATTCAGAAACCAATATGCACACTTTGCAGATCCCAGATTGTGAAATATGTTCTAATGTAGTGAAGAAGAGAAATTGCTTTAAATCTATGACTTTCCTATATGTTTTTAGGGCTTCTTATGATACTTTAGCACCAAATGCAAAACGGAAATATCCAGATGAGGGAGAGGCTGATGAAGAAGAAATTGAAGAATATAAGGTAAAAAGACAGTCCAAGAAACAGAATTTTTTTTAAAGTGGTGAACTTTCTGTGCTGAATGATAAAATATTAGTTTGTGGGAAACTTATTTCAGGAAGTCAGTCACTAAAACGGTTAGATTACACTCATCTACAATTTTTGAGAAGTCGTCTGCTTCAGAGAGAAAATGTGCTATTTATTATGTATTTT